ATATATGTATCTATCGTACATATATTCATTTATCCATATACATAGGTATGTATATGTATGTTACCCCCTAACTGAACTGAAATGAAGCTGCGAATTAGTCGCTTATTGTCTGGAGGAGTAATTGTTTCTTGTTTGTGTGTGCCGCAGCAGCCACGTAAATGAAAGTCACTTTTGATTTGGTTTTGTCTTATGATTTCTGTTCAGCGTGTCAGTGGAAAGAGTTCAAGCGGAAATGGCTAGGAAAATTACATTTTTTGTTTGCTTTTTCCAACCATAAAGCGAAGACTTGGAGATATTAAACTAATCATAACTCCATTATACCATTCTAGAGTCTTTAATAAAAGACTCAAGCTACGAACTTGACTTTGACATCAACAAAAACTCTTTGTGGCTGTTGCTGCTGTAAGCGACAACAAGTTTTCCAAATATCATAGATTCTTTTTTTGTTGGTCTTTTTTTTGTCGAGTATCATAGACAGACTATTATGACTGCTGAAAGCTCTTGTCATTTTTGCTGCCTCGCAGCATTTTGATTGTGCTTGAAAATATCAAACAATATCAAGGAATTAAATGAGGAATTTGTTTCGTTGAATTCAATGATTTATGTTTTGATTTCTGAGAGTAAGCGTGTGTGTTTTGGAGGCGTCTCTAATTGCCTGTCGGCTGCCTGAAATTGATATCAATATGTAGTGCCCCAATAGACAGACAGACGCTTATTGACAGTTTCTCTTTATTTGATTTCATGGGTAATAATCGCTTAGAAGACATTGAATGATGGCAGCTTTTAATGGCAAAATCTCAGTGGGAAACACTACATTTTTTCGATCATAATTTTATGGCTCGGCCGTCCCGCTGTAAGAACGGCAGCTTTAATTTCTAGCCTTGGCTGACACCTATTTATAAAACACATTAGTGTCTTCATATTTTATGTGTATAAACTTTATGAATCATGTAGAGAACAACCTGTTTTCAGATCATATTCGATGAGCATCCTTTACCCAAACCCTCTGTATGATATCATGAGACCAATTTAGATCCTGCCTAAGCCCCAAGCAAACAAAAACAAATATAAATCGAAATATGCTGGAAACAAGTTCCCAAGCAGCTGTAAAATAACCACATAAAATATTTATAATACTAAACCAAGATAAACACTCAAAGAAAGCGCAATAGGAAACTTGTTTTGTTAATGAGTGCTATTCATTGTTTTGCTAAATAAATTTGGTAACATCGATATTTGAGATTATTTGCCATAAAACTTGTATAGTATTTGTTGGAAATTGCATTTGTCTCCCTCCAGAACTAAATCCGAAACAAATCTTTGGCCTGAATCAAACAAAATTTCTTCACAGCCGAAACTGAATCACTTAAAGACTTGCAAGCCATAAAACTGATTGGAAAATGTATGCCAGTGAATGGCTTTCAATTGCCAATTTTGGCAGCTGTGGCCAATGAAGTTCATGTGGGGACCATGCAGCCGTGGATGCAGATCAAAATGCCATTCAACGGGCAGCCCTAAAATGGCCTAAACGAAGCCTGTCAGGCCATGGAGGTCAGCATTTCAGTCTGACATTTAGCCTGCTGCCGAGTGGCACTGGGGCCATATATCAAAGTTGGCTATGGCTGTGGCTCTATACTAGATGGAGTTTGGCGCTGGAGTCCATCCATTAAAGGCTGACTAACGCTACGCGCAATTCGCGACGCACGTGTGTCGTTTGTGCCAGCAATTTCAGAATTTCCAGCGATAGCATAGCTTATGGCATTTAGCTGGTAAATGCTGCTTTGATGATCATATTTAAAGTCATGATGTAATTGAACAGTTTACGCATTAGAGTGGATAGCTATGATTAAGCTTAAAGGTATTTTAAATGATCACTGATCCGAGGAAAAGCCTCAGGCATTAACCCATTTCCACAGCTTAAGTTATTGTTTCAACACTTCGACACTGTTATCGTCAAGTCCCATTACACTGGAAACACAATTCCTTTTTTAAAAGTTCAAGTTCGTTGTCTCAACAGTCTTTTTGTTTGACCACCAAAAAACCGAAGCTACAACAAAAAATTGACAAATGGTTTATTTATGAATGCAGTGCACTTTGCTGACATTTGCCCAAACGACAATACGGCACACACAAAAAAAAACTTAGTTGAGGTTTTTATCTGCAGTTTTACGGTTTTGCGGCCAGCAGCAAGTTCGTTGTCAAAGTCTTTTGTTTTTACAGCGGCTGCTGATGCTGTAGCTGTTGCTACTGCCATAATAAGCTACCTCGATGAACACCTTAAGAACAAGCTCTAAAGTGTTGATAGATCGCAGCATTAAGCCGGAGGCAAAACCCCAACAAGTCCGCCTAGAATATGTATGTTGAAATCATGAGGTTGCTTCGAAAAAAACAACAATACAAAACATCAACATTATTTACACTTCATTAATCACTAAAAGATGGTCTAACAAAAACAACAGCAGAAACAGAAACAGAAACAACAACAACAGCAGCAGCTATTATAAGGTTGTTTGTGTGGTGTTGTGTATAAGGAATCGTTGTGGGATACTTTTACCATGGCGTCTCGTCTCATCTCGTTTCGTTTCGTCTTTCAGTTGCGGCTCATTGGGTTTTCAGCGATGCGCACGCAGCGCCAGTTAACGCATCAACACTTGGATTTGAGTACAAGATATATAAATAGCACACACCAAATCAACAACAACCATACCAAGAACTAACTTCAACAAATTCAATCAAAAATACCAACAAATCCAATAACAACAATTAGAATACCAACAAATTCAACAGAAATATAAACAACAATACCGAAAAAACTACACCAACAAGTTTTCCTGTCTAACGACAACTCAGAGAGAGAGAGAGAGAGAGAGAGAGAGATGGATTCATCCTCCTTTTGAGGGTATTGTTTCTTGAATGACTTTTTAATTTATTTGCCATTTCTTTTGCTGGCAAAACGTTAATGAGCAGACCAGACCAGGCCAAGATCCGAACAAGTCCAGGGCCCGGTACCCAGACGCAGACTTAGACCCGGTTAAGACTACAACAACAACAATAACAGCCATCCGCATTTTGAACTTTTATCTGGCCATCTGCAGACTGGGACAGACGAAACAACAGGCAAAAACAAAAAATTATATTGTAGCATTCATTTTGTTACATTTTGGTTTATTTTCCAGCTGCCTTTCGGCTGGAGACTCGTCTCTCGGTCTCTCCCCAGTCAACTTTAACCCCCTGCCACATAAAACACAAAGTACGAGTACAAGTACGAGTGTCCGTACTTACATCCCTATCCCTGGCCCTTGTTTTTCTTCCGACCCGACCCTGTTGCAGTTGTAGGTGTAGGTGTGAGTGGGTAGGTGTATGTGATGTGATGTGAAAGACGGTTAAGTCACACATTTGGCCTAAATTTGTCTTTTCTTTCGGCCCGGCTCGCTTTTCTTTTGTTCATTTGCGCCACGAGACAAGAAGAAAACAAAACTGTAGCACCTCTTGACATTTAAGGCGCGCGCATTTCCCAATTCCATGTACTGCTTTCTGTGAGTCTCTGCCTCTAATCACAGAGTGCACACCAATTGGAATTATCTAACACAAAAACCCAGTAAAACTTTTAGCAGCTGCAACAGCACTGCATTCCCCATTCCGAGGGTCTATATTCTGAGTGCTACTGGGGGCCGCAATCATCCTTGAACTGTGTGCTCAGCCCAGCCACTGAGCCACCCCAGCATTATCTTAGTTTCGTTAATAACAATGCCAAGACGAGGCAACAATTGTGGTTGCAAATTTTGCAACACAAAATTTATGCAGTTGAAAAAAAATTAGAAAAACACAACAAAAATACACAAAAACAAAAAGAAAAGACCGAAATGCATGCCGGCAATTTTGAGGCTTTTGCATGGCTTTTAATTGTTGTATCTATTCATCTAAGGTAACCAACAATTTGGCAAATTAATCATCGAGCCAAAAGTCGCCTCTGGCAAATGCAAGATTTATGGAAATTGTCCATCATTTCGTTCGCCTAGAACTGATTAATATTTACGTTGATTAAGAAGAAAACAAGAAGCTAAGCAACAGCTAATGCTAATTGTTTTTAATTGTAATGACTTTGGGGGGGTTTGTGTGCAAACTTCATTAATTTATTCATCAGTTGATTTAAAATGCTTGCCAGCTAACTTTTCTTGAATTATTGTTACTAAATGTGTTTATGTTGTAGTCTTCCTGGTTTTTTTTTTTTTAGGTGAGTATTAAAACCCATTCCTTGAGATTAATATTACCATTAAGAGGATATGCTACAAGTGTTACAAGTGCTACAACCACCCAAAACATAATTCAAATATTTTATAGAGATGTATTTACAGCATTTTTGTCTTCATACAAACTGAAGATATCAATCTCAGCTAATACTTATAGGAGTCGTACCGCAAGTTCCTTTTAATATACTACAAAAAATGCAACATACAACTAAAGAAGGAAGGAAAAAACGAAGCTATTTAAATGAGTACTTGTATTGAACCTGAAAATCATCTTTTTTTGTAGACATTTAAGTTGTGTACCCCCAAGAATTTGCCATCACTTCCTTTTACTTTTCAAAATCTTGGTCAAGTATCATAATTTATTTGCAATTTTTGTATCTTGGCTTATGGGGCATCTTAGACAGGCGCAAGTGAACTTGCATAACTTATAGTCGTACAAGAGCCACCATAAAAAACCGTCTGTCTGTCCAATATTTAAGCAACACATTGACATTTTAGCAGCATTATTGTTGCTTTGCCTGTCGCGAGTCGGCCAGAAAAAAGTAATAAAATTAAGTAGAAAATGTATACTATAAATCTAAGTAAGATGAGGCTTTTGTGAAAGGAGATGTACATAATTGTTGTCCATTCATGCGTACGAAATGAGTTTGGTATTTTATTAGAAGTCCATTCAGCTGTCGATCTGTGGAGCTGTCGTGTGCTGTCGAAATTCCTGGCCCAAACGCATTTGGAGTTCAGGCGCTCACTCACCTTTAAGCGGCATCAACAGCGGCATCATTGGCAGCGGTGCTCTGAATGTCTGTTTGTGTGGCAGCAACACTCGCCAGTAACTGTGGCAGTAACTGTGGCAGCAACTCAATCTTCCACAGCTTCCTTTTTGCTGCTTTCGGTTTCGTGATGGAAGTAATATGTAGGTTTTGCTATAAACTTATTTATGACAACGTTTTCCGCTCTCCAAGTTGATGTGTTTCTCTTTTATGTGTGTTTTCTGTTTCGCTTGTGAATATTAGTTATAATGTTGCACTTTTTCGTGTAACTGTTGTGGCAATGTTGTCTCACTATTGTCGATTATTTGGTGTATTATTTGTTTGGGGCTAGAGAGGAATTATGTTATAATGCACAGGTATCACGATTTAGTTGATGTTTTTTTCGGTGGCAGCACAAAATCACTTCAAGTTTTTCATGTCAGCGGTATGAAGATATCATTAGGTGAAATTTTTCAGGTAATTCCACAAAGAAAAAAGCGAATTGATTTAATTGTATGGCCTATCTGGGTATTTGGGCCAAGTTCATTAGCAATTACAGAAATATTATGGCAAAAACTACGAAAAACTTGAAGTGATTTGTTCTTTAATAATCCTTTTAAATATCATAAGTCGCTCTAATATTTCAACATTTTCTTCCTTAAAAAATTGCAAAAAAACTATCATTTATTTAGGAGCACAAAATGTTTAAAAATGCAAGCACTTGAATCACTTTTAAGATTATTATCCACATAAAATCAGCTTTGGAAAATACAGTACGAGGAATCTCAGAGCCAGAGTCGGAGCCAGACGAACAGAAGACGTCTTCACCCGTACGATATTCACATTTGAATGTTTCAATTGGCAAATGCGGCGTCCAACTTTAGTAGTAGTTGAGCGGATCTCGGGCCCCGGACTCGAAACTTTGTTTGGCGAAAAACGCTCTCAAAGCCACGACGCAAAGACAGAAATCAGAGTCATCGTCGGCGCCCCGCCATCGTAACACAAAGCGAAGATCTTTGCCACATCTTCCTCAAAGCCCAAAAGCAGCAGCAGCCGCAAACACAAAAACCAAACACAAATTGCCTTTGCAACCGGTCGCAGCGTTAGAGAGAGGAGAGACACAGCGTTCGGCAGGCACCCGAAGCATAACAGAGCAGTGGGCTTGACGACTGTTAAAGCTTAACAGTGCTTTTAGTGCAATTTTGTTAAGGTGGCTGTTAGATTTGAAATATTAGTTAATTGTTGATTTCAAATGGTTTAGGTATGTATGTACATATGTAGTTTATACATATTTATTTATGTACTTCGGGAAGCTTTGCAAATTTGTCTTCAGGAAGAGAACTGCGTCCGTCTTACCTGCTGTGAAGTTAATTTTTGTTCATTTATGTATGTACATCAAGCTGCCATATTCCTTTAATCTGGCAAGCATCCACGACATGCTGAAGAGGATCACTGAGACATACCGCATAACCCTCAAGTGATGAAAAATAGATGAAAAAAAATATTAAACTGATCTGTATAATTGGAGTCCCGATTGGGACAATTACACTTATTATGCTCTATTTAGTGTGTATGTCAACATCTTAAGGGATTAACCTCCTTTTTCATAATATCCAATAAAATTGCATAAATAACAAAATTGCTTTAAATGCTGCTCACATCCAATTGAAATAGATTTCAATCAATCAGAGCGATGACAGTTTGGGAATCCATCACCGCTTAATGAGGAAGGGGAAGCACTTGTAGGGTTTTCAACGAAGAGTTGGTCCCCCCTCCTTGAAGTGGGGATCTGTGGGTCGCCCGTGGAAGGCAGAGCAAACAAAAACATCGCAAATTAAAGATTCGAAATGCTCGCAGTGACGACTTTTTGACTTGAGGCGTTTCTTGTATCTTGGCTGAGTTTGATTTTGTTTGTGTTTTGTGAACCACAAAACAATGGGGCAAAAGGGAAGACAGCTGAGGAGTTGACAGTGGACAGTTTTTATGATGATTTTGGGCAGCTTCTTTGCGGGGCCTACAACCAGGAGGGAACCTGGCCAGCGATCGCCTCGATTGCATAATAATTTTGTCTGATTTTCGTTTGGATGGGTTTTTGGATGCTGCCGATGCCGATGCTTCCTCCCTCTTTTTGGACTCATCTTGGAAGCAACTTCTGCTTCCTTCTCCACACGAAGGCAGCAAATGCTGATGCAGTTGCCGATGCCGATTCATTGGGGCCTGCGATTATGGTTTTGGTGTAGCAAAAATGCTTAAATAATCGCAGTCACAAATATTCCCACGAAATTTTCCACTGAGGCCGCCTACCCATAGTGGTATCTCCCTGCAGTGATCCAGCGATGGTATGAGTAGTTCATGTAAAATTAACATTGGATTCTATTAAAAATCAGAAGTGATGGTCGTAATGGCCTGCCTGCCTTCTGCCTGTTGCCTGCTTAACGTGATTTTAATGGCGATTCGGTTCTCGACTTTGGCTGTTTGACTCCTTTCCATTATTAACCATTGACAATGTTTCTGTTTTTTTTTTTTTGTTTATTGCTGCTGGGGTGATGCAAATGACATTGAGTTAGCGGCTTTTGCTCATTAAGAATGGCAGGCAGCATGCGATCATAATGAATTGCTCAATTGATAATGTTCAACGGATTTACAAGCATTAATAGAGTTTCTATATAAATAGTTATTATGCTGCCATACTGTCTTCCGTTAAAGGTTCTGACATTGAATGGGGAATGTTTTATGATTACAATCAGGAATTTAAATGCAATTTTGTAGAGTTTTATTGAAGGAAAGATGATGAAGGAGCTTAATGAATATTCTGACTCTCTACAAACACTCCCTAATGTTTTCAAGGACAGTTTCCGTCTTAATACTCACCGAAAATTGCACAGCAATTTGTTAGAGAGAACTCATTGTCACAACTAGTTGGTTTAACACATAGTTTTGGCCCGAAATCCAGCGTACACCAAACTAAAGATCACATGAAACGAAAAATACACGTACAAGCCCCCTTTGATAGCTTGTGCAATAACCTTAAAAGGTCGTTTTGGGCAATTTGTTGTTGAAAAGTAATTCAGTGGAAGATCGGGCAAAGTGTCAAATCATTGTAGAAGTATCTCAGAAGTCATCTAGCCTATATTTAACCCCAAACTATGCATCAAAGATGCATGGGGTACAGTGGGATGGTGGGGCCCTACGTGCAATCTTGTTTCGTCTCAGCCTTTTGCCTTTTGTAAATTGAAAAACCATTTAACTCGAGTTAATTTTAACGCCCGTTTTCTATGCCAACCTTAGTTAGATTGCCACACTGCCACACAGCAGCTGTAGCATGCACGGAGCACCAAAGCCCCAGAGACCCAGAGCCGAAAACAAAAGCGAGAAGCAGCCGAAATACGTAATGCAAGCGATAATTATTGCCTACAGGCCTCCCAAAAACGTCTCCAGACAACCAAAAAAAAACCATCCAATGAAAAAAAAGAAAAGAAATAACAGAAGCCGCCGTGGTCTAGTCGTGTAGATGATTGAAAAGCGAAGAAGATTTGCATAGAAACGTGCGATTTTCGCCATGGCTAGCGGGCCCCCATGCTGTGCTGCCGAAAGTATCTGCCAGATACGCCATGGTATTTTGCACCCACACACTCGGGGGGGATTGGGGCAGCACACTGTCAACGTGCTCACAGCATGAGAACAATACTTTGTTGCCTTCAATTACTCATCCATTCATGCCGTCATTCATTCAGCACTTGGCTCCTGCATGCAACTTCTTCACTGGAGTTCATTGCAGTGGCAGCCGCAATTTGTTGAAATTATTGTTTAGTTTTTTTTTTTGATTATCATATATTTTTGTAGCTGAAATATAGGCATGCTTCTGGGGAATATGCCCACATTCCTGGCCCTTCTACGAGCATGTTGTCGTGGCGGCTGAGTTTCAAATGTGTTTTTGCACTCGACCCACATTTGTCAAGATCAATGATACAGATAACCCCCTGATTGATGGTCGGAGGTTATGTGTTTTTGGGTAGCTTTGATAAATGTTTCTCGTGTAGCAAAACATTTTTAAACATTTTTTTTGTTTAGCATTTTGTAAACATATTTATACATATCTCAGAATCCCTGAAGGTTTTTCGGACTTTCTAACAAGTATAAAACATTTTTATTTGTATCTTAGTTAGGGTTAGTCTTGAGTTAGAACATTCCATGAGAGAGATAATATTCCAATAGTAAGAACTTTTAAAACAACTTCCACTTGACTTAACATTTTGTTAATGCTTTGTTTTAAAAGATAAATTTCATTAAAAAAAAAAACCCACCAAATAAAGTGCAATGATTCAGACAATACAGCATCGTTAGTTGATAGCCAAAATCTCTCCGATTGGCATGAATAAAACTGGAAACTCCACGAGCTTTTAACACATCATGCAACTGGAATGTGAACAAAAAACAAGTATACTCGTAAGATAAACGAGTGAAAAGTGATTTCAATGCCAAAGAACCCGCGCTAGTAGTCTGTTAGGAGCGTGCAATCTATCTCAAACGACAGCTGAACCAACCAAAGTGATATCTTAGCATTTGGAATTATAAAACAATTGTGCGCTAATGATGAAAGACAAGCAAAGGCAGGCTGACAAGCAGAGGCAGCCAGTCAGGCAGAGGCAGGCAGGATTTTGGCCACCAGGGAAGCTACTACTATCATCAGTACCAGAGTGGTAGTGATGCATTCATTGCCTTTGCTATACCAAAGATCCACAGACGAGGGATATGATAATATAATATGGTCACGGCTTGCAAATGCAAATGACACAGAAAAACTTAGATATTTTTTTATTGAGCATTTTACAAACTGCACAACAAACCTCAGGGCATGACCTCCGACCGTGCACAACTCCAGCCACAAAGGCAGACGTCGAAGTCTTCCACTAGGAATCACGATGAGGCAGAGGCACACAGCACCGAAGATTTATGTAAGAGTCTGCCAAGAGTTGGTAGCACAGGAACCCATCATTATCGATCGATATAAGCAGCCAGAGACTTCGAGACGACAGTCGTTGAGAGACCGACAGGAGGCCAGGGTAAGGGGTACGGGTTCGGGAACTGCCAGATAATAACTTGATCATTGGAAAATCATTTATTGTGACACGATCGCTGATTGGGGGCCCACTCAAAAGACTTCTCTTCGTCAACTTGTTGTCATGCTGTTCCGTCTCTGGTTTTCTATTTTATTTTTCTTTTTATGATGAAACTATGTTATTTTGCAGCTTGATAATCATTCTGCGAAAGGCAAACAACTTAATTGCTAAGAGATAAAACCTTTGCTAGTTTCAAAACCTCATGAAATATGCTCTAAAAATGCCTAGGTGTCAGAATGTTAGCCAGCATCAAGGTAGAGAATCACCTCTGATATATTAGTTAGTTTTTATTTGCACACTAGATAAAAGGTTGGTAGCTGGTTTTATGATCTCCAATTCATGTTACAGGTTATTTGGAGTGGCATTAAAAGTATGTCTGAATGCTCTACAGATTAATGAAGCTGCACCAAAAACCAGTATTACATGTGAAGTATTATAATTGAACTTTAATTGAATTTAAAAGTAAGTAAAGCTAATAAAAATGTGGATGTCGAACAGGCAGTTCACTCCCTCTCCTACTGTGACGCTTTAAAAGTGAAAACTAAATGACTTTGTTTAACAAAAGCAAAGAAACCTCTGAGAACAAGTAAAGCCAACTGTTTAACCTAATTAATTTTTACAACTTTATGGCCTCAAACAATGACTTTGCTAATCCCTGCTTCAATTTAGTCAAAAGCTCTTCAAATGTATTCATTCTTATCAAAGTTTGTAATCATTCTTATTTAGCCATTTAAATATAACCCAAAACTCGTGCACTTGAAAATAAGTAAGTTTTCCCCTTATTAAATTCTCTCCCCTTTCTGATTTCATCCAAGGCAATGTGTAGTGTATTAATCAGCATGCAACAC